TCGAGCCACTACACTCGCATTTTTCCCTTGGAGTGCCTGGTAGAAGGTGATGATACGATTCGGGTGTTGTCCATTCATTGACCGTAATGCCGCGAAAGCCCATACGCGTGCCCATATCTACTCATGTGTTGATTGCCCGGGGAACGTCCTACAGGTTTATCACCCTTGCTACCGTGTTCACGCTGTTGATACAAATTTTCAACGCTTCAAATTTTTTGTCGCAGGACTTATTTGCCAACCTAATATATAGCAGAATGATTTTCAAGTTGCGAAGGTGAAGCTATCCCTATCACTTAAAACTTACATATGTTTATATAGGTGTTAAATCGAACAGTGATTTGTACGAAGTAGCCGGTTTCCACAGTCATAGTAAAAATGAAGCGAGCCGAGAAAAATCTTTCTGACCACTCGAGAGAGATAACAAACGATTTTTCGTTCTATTATTCATTATTTTCAGCGTCGAAGGTCATGAAATTCGACAGAGTTTGTGCATGCACCTTCTGCGGGCTCCGACTTTCGGATTATCTTTCTCTTTAGTACTTCTGCTCAGTATAGCTATAGACAGACTGCTTTCGTTAATGTCTTTCTAGTAAGTTTTCAAGATTTTACAAGACATGTTATGTTCCTCATTAGTTGGAGATCAAAGTTGTAACGAAGGAGAGCCTGTTGTGTTACAGTAAGAAATAATAGGGAAACAAATAGCTCTTGTTCATTCCAGAGGAAAAAAAGCTTCTAACATCCTGACTAGCAAGCATTATGAGATTACGACGCATGAGATAAGATAGGTATTTTGTTCCGGCTGAAAAAAATTTTGCTGTCAACAAAATTAACGCCGTTAGGAGATGGTCATGGAGGAGATACTTTAAGTGCGCTTTACATTTTTGTTGTTCGGAGTGTGGATGTACATAAAAAAGTTGTATGAAAATGTAGTTCGGTGGAGTGTACACATCACTGTGCTAGTATAAAAGAAAACTAATACGGTGCTACGCATCAATTCCATCAGTTATTCCAACAATGTATCAAATAGGAAAAGGATCATGGAACATAAGCACCGGTCATCTGTGCACTTTTATGAGGTTTAAGCCAAGGGAAGGTAGTGTTTTTTGACTAAATATCAGAAGGGTAGGTGTACCGGAGTGGGTGAGATGATCACCTTGTGCAAAAAAAAACTTGGAAACTCGCCCACCTCGGAGCTCCTTTTCTCCTAAGGCTTACTTCAAAAAACACCAAGTCTCTGGTGTAACACGGAATAACAAATCATAAGTAAGTGACATTATCATGAACGAGGTTTTCTTTTTACATCTTTTCAGTGGCACGCTGATAGCCTACTATCGAAAACTTTACTTGACAGCACATATTCTTCCAGCCATTATATTTGGAATAATTGTGAATGTAGTGTTTTTCGTTTATCAGGCTGCTGACGAGTATGTTACCTCTACGAAATCAATTTTATCAAATTAAAAAACTTATTTTCTTCACAATTCTCTGTTTCCTCTCCTTTACTTAGTTCGATATTTGTATATTTTTATGAGATCGCAGTTATCGGCAAAGGAACTCGTAGCTACTCTTGGATAAATGCTAAATCGTTGTAGAGAATGGTTCATCTCTTTGAAAGGTGGTAAGCAGAAATTAGGGGTGAATTAGTGATGTTCAGCGCGACTGCAGGATTTTGAACTGACAGTATTTCTGAAAACTGGTTACTAAGAGTGTTATCCATGACCCGAAGTGGTTTCAGAACTTTAAAAGGCTCACATCAGAGAAAGCAGGAATACACCAGTTTTTTCAAAATGGCTGGAACTGTGAAAAGACATCGGCCTTCAGCAAAGAGCTTTTCTCTTTTTTATTCATTCATACAGGTCTCCTTCACTCTACGGATCTTTTTCACTGAGGGTACTCTCTTTCTGAAGGATCCCAGTCGTTCAGCGACGAGGCTATGTAGGGTGTCTCCAGGTGGCCGATAGGGGAGTAAATCGCCGACCAAAAGTGGCCAGTGGTACTTGCTCAGAGACGCAGATGAATTCAGGGGATGGACTCCCTAAATCTGCTCTGCTGGTCGATATACCTCCTGTTTCTCGCAGAGGTATCCACGCATACGTGTGTGGAGAGTTTGTGGGTGCAGTAGGTATCATGTCCATCACCCAGCCGAAAGCTTGCATTCGAGTGACTGGGAAGTATCTGGGGGAGGGGGGCGATTTGGGGCTACCTTCAGAAACAAAGCCCCTTGTCCACTTCGGTACCGCCTGGCCAGCACCCGAAGGAGTCATTCGAGCCCCCTACGTCAGAGCCTGGCACTACACGTTGGGTATCCACTCGTCAGCTAACAGTAATACAAATGGGCCTCATCTCTTTGAACCTGAGTGAGCCCTAATACGGCATCGTTGGGTAGGACCGCTCGGGAGGGGCTGCTAAAATCGCAGGGCCAATAAAATACAGATCGCCATCTCAGTCCTCCTCAAAAAGACTCAATACACAGACGCTTGCATCGTAAGCGTGTAAAGAAGCTGATGATGCAAGCTAGAAAGAACAAGTACGACGTCGTCGTACTGGCCGAGACCAGACGACATCGCTTACTACACGCTGTATTCGACACTGGAGAAGAATTCTTATTTGTAACATACGACGGTGGAGGCGCCGGCGTCGTAGGTGTTTCGATTCGTACAAAAGCCTAACAACCCGAACCGGACGTTTGCAAATTAATAAGATGTGGCTCAATCCCAGCTCTAAGCCTACGCACCAAATCAAACTACGAAGAAGAGGAGTTGAAATAGTTTTATATGGAACTGGAGAGGCTTTACAGAGGAGACCATACTTTCTTCAAGGTCATCGTCGATGATTTCAACGCCAAGATTGGCCTCAGAAGAACGGCTGAAGAGCTCCACATCGGAACTCACGGAGTGAAATGGAGTGAGCAGAGTGGAAGGTTGTCAGAGTTTACTATGTCGACCCACATCATCCATAATAACTCGCAGTTCCAGAAGCCCTCTCATTTGCGATGAACAGGGGAGTCACCTAGTGGACAGTTCCATAATGAATACACAACGTCATCGTCAATCGAAAGTTTTGCCTAACTGACATCGCTGATGTATCGGAGTTCTACACGGGATCTTCTCCTCTGCGCTGGATTCCGCTTTTCAGTGCGAAGAGAAAGCTGCGACCGCAGGTCTGTTGTCAACTGGGATCACTTCGCGTTATTGGCGAGTTTGTGAGAAGATTCCGTTATCGATGAAGGAAACGTTCGGCACGTCGAATACCTTCGCGATAGCGCTAGGAAGGTGAGAGTCTCAAAAATGTCAAGAAATGTCTCTTTTCGAAGACTCTTGAGCTGATACGTCAGCAGTAATCGCGCGAACTGCCGGCAAGAACCAGCTAACGTCCGAATTTGCGCTGAGGCTGAAAATTGGCATTGGCAAAGCCCGACGGAATTTAGCCAGTTACAAGACTAAGCAAGGAAGGATTCCAAGTCGAAGCGGCCATTCGAACTAAGACCTATACTGCTAGACGCGCTCTTGGATGCTGATTTCAAATATGCTCCCTGAATTTCCGAACGATTCTCTAATCGGAGTTATGAGAGTGGTATCAGGTAAGACTTGACCTGAGAGAACTTCAATTATATGGATGTGTTCCTTGCTCTTCAGCTGTGCCTTGGAGCAGTGGAAAGAGTGACACCTCATGTGCGAGAGACTGGGGTTCCGGTTTAGTGGGGGTCGATTTGTTGCATTATATAGAATTTTTCTATGCAGAATTTTTTCATTAAGGACTAGAAAATACTCATGATGATTTTATCACGTTCTATAATTTTTTGATACTTTTGCTATTCCCACCTACCGGTTACCGAGTGAAGGATTCTTCCTTGCGCAAAATTCGGAGGTCCGGGCGAGTAAAACGCATATGATGAGCAATAATGATGCTAGAGTGGTTGTTGATGCTGGAGTGGGTGCGATCGTGTGTAGCAGCTTTGGATTCACCAACATCGACACTGTTGATAGTGGGCTGAAGGCATCGTTCTCAAAAGGACATCGTTCAAAGACTATAAAGCTACTCAGTCCGTCTTACCTCCTCAAAAGCATATCCGAAGCTACACAGAGAAGCGATAAAGGGAGATCTGAAAGAGAGAAGAGCAGCAGTTATAGACGAAGCCGCCGAGGTCGGAAAGAGCATCCGCTCTCGGAGGAGCTTCACCAATTACAAAACCAAGATGACTCCCCTTAGTCGTCATGACGGAACAGTTACCGCATTTTAAAAGATAATGGAGACGGTCTTATATGACTTCTACTCGGATCTCTTCGTCAGCACCGTCTACCTGCCTTCCCACCATCTTAGGCAAGACGAATATTTCGCTCCACTGGGTCTTACCTCTCAAATTCGACATGCCATCGCGTCTTTGAAGAACTGTACAGCGCCCGGTTCCGATAGGACCAAACCAGAACATCTAAAAAGTATTCCATCTCTTATTATCAGAACTCTGGCTATGCTTTTTACGCGATACCTGTTGGAATGCCAAGTAGCCACGTCGTGGAAACCTAGCAAAACTATGTTGCTGTATAGGAGGGGAGGTTTCGACGATATTAGCAATTACCGCCCAATCTGCCTGCTGTCTGTAATCGAAATACTTCACACATGCGTCATCCCAAACAGATTGGCAGAATATTGGATGAAGGTCAGCCATGCGAGCAAACAGGGTTTCGGAGAGGGTCTCGATCTATCCAGACTCCTTCAAGACGCAGTAAAGTATCGCGAGAGCACAAAACGCCGTCACTTCTTACCTTTATCGATGTGATGAAAGCCTTTGATACCGTTGAGACAGGAGCGGAAATTGGAGCCCTGGGAAACCAGTGTTTCTACTCAATATATAAGGATGCTTCGTGAGCTCCACGACAACTTCACGACCATGATTACACCATTCTACAAGGAAGTCATTGTCAACGTGAAGAGAGAAGTCCGGTAGGGCGATTCTAATTCGCCCGAACTTTTCAGTGCCGCTCTTGAGAACGTCATGCGTCACATGGAATGGGAAAGCATGGGAGTGAAGGTCGACGGCCGCTGCTTATATCATCTCCGCTTTGCGGAAGACATCGTGCTTATAACACTCAACATCGAGCAGGCGGAACAAATGCTGGCCGAATTCGACAACGCTTGTGGAGAGATCGGATTACCACTAAACCTAACGATGATGATGTTCATGATGTTGAGAAACGGAATGGTTTCTGATGCTCGTTTCACACTGAACGGAACGAATATCTCTGAATGTTCTAGCTGCGTATATTCAGGTCGGGAAGTCAACATGATGAACGATGTAGCTCCTAAGGTGAGTGCTGCATGGGGAGCATCCAAGAATGTCCAGAGAGTATTGAAGGAGACGAATGAAGTTTGGCTCCGCGCTCACCTTTGCAACACTGCTGTCGTTCCTGCTATGAGTGCGCCTCAGAGAGTTGGATTCCACCACAAAGTATGAACATGCAGTCAGCATCGCTCAACGCGCTATGGAAAGAACGTATTCGTAACTTCCCTACACCCGCAAGTGCAGAAGAAAATCTGAAGGATAGAGCTCTATCACCGAACGAAGACCAGAGATGCCACTGATTACGCCAAGAGATCGAAGATCAAGTGGGCCGTCTACGTTATGCAATATAGTGATGATCAGGGCGGTTACTGACCGAATCCATTGGAACATCAAACGAACTTTAGGACGGCCGCAAACGAGATGGTCAGACTTCTTCATGAGGGGTTTTAACGAAAGGAGTGCTTTCCCCGTGTCACTTGAGCGAGTACGATCCAATCGGCTACTCTAGCTCGTGAAAGGGACGAATAGATACGTTATTGGCGACAGCTCGAGGAAATCGGCGATCAAGGGGACGACAGGTGATACTTACTCGGACATTCACTGAGTTTGTACTTCTCACTATTTGTTGTAATTACATGCTCTTACAGGCAATTCGGGACTTCTACCCAAAATAGCCAATGATCAATGGATTTAACTAGCCCTCAGGTTTTTTTTCCTCGAAATATTCGAAGAAAACTGACCACACACCATCAATTTGATTTGACGTTTAAAATTGAGTGTTTCTCTACTATCGTGATGCAAATGTTTTTTTGAAAGAAGAGCCTCATTAATGTGATATGAAAGAGTGGACAATTGAGAAATCGGTCTTGATCTTCATGCAGAACATTTTTGTTGCAGATACATATTATGCTCTTTTGCAATTGTGATGCAAGGACCTGCCGACGACTTTCTGAATATGTCAGTTCTCCTAATCTGCGCTGTAGTTATTCTATGCTACTTACTTTTCATATGTTTTCTGAACAAAATACGGACAAGTGGGTATTATGACAAGTTTCCTTTGATGCGTAGAAAAACTCGAAGGTAGTAACTGCATGCGTTTGGCACCTTAATCTTATACCAGTCGGGTCGCTCGGATAACGCCGATCCCTCTCCTTTCTATGATAGACTTTTAAAAATCGGCTAATTGACCCACTTTTTCTTCGTAACAAAGGATAGTATTTAGAATGCGAAACAAGGCAGAGGACTAAGAGGGCATGCAAATGGTATCTAAAATGAGCCGATGCTAGAGCCTACGGTTAGAAGTCTCGAGTTGTTGTTGTTCATCATAAAAAAAAATGACCCATTGAAGGTTTAACTGGTAGGCATCCGAAGCCTCGAATGGTACTCACAAATATTGTCGAGTCATAATAGTACCATTATATCGAACGTCTTTGTAGTTCCTTTCTCCTACAGATACTTTATTCATTGAGAATCCAAGATTATTAACAGTCGGTTGAATTTTGTTAAGAATGATACCAGAGCAGAGACAGAAGGTGATCCTTCATTGAATCGCAAAGTTTGCTGGGTAGCGGTCGTAATTTAATAGCAAGAAGTGAAACAAATTTCATTTCCTTACAATCGGTCCATATCACTGCCCTTTCCTTATTGTAGAGTGAAATATATCAAAAAGTCAAAGCTAGATCGTAATTAACAACGGCGTTAGTGTTCTCATCCTGCCTCCTCTATCCTGTTGACTTTGCTCCCCAGGCCCGCGGGTTCAGGACTTGTGGATTTTCGCTCGGACATCAATTTCGCAAAATTCCCTTTCCCTGTGGGCAGAACCTGACCCTGCTAACCGCCATGAGTTTTCCCATACTGCCGCCTGTCCTCCTACCCTGATTGAACGGTCTGGAGCCAAATTGAAAATTTTTGCGCAAACTCCGTCCCAACTGGGCGGGGTCCGGTCCTGCCACCCATCATAGTATATGTTGCCATCCTGCCTCCAGTAATCGTGCCAAATTTAAACGCTTTAGGTCCACGTTAACAGGAGTTATGATTTTCCGCTCAAACACTCATTTCGCGCAAACCCGCCCCCTGTAGGCGGAGTCTTTTCCTGACACTCGCTATAAGTGTTCCTCTCCTATCCCCTATATTCTTACCAAATATGAACGTTCAAGGTCAACGGGAATAGGATCTATGAATTTCCGGTCGGACACACACACAAACACACAAACGCGCACAAACACACAGACTAGCGCGTTATATAAAGTAGGACATGCTGCTATTAAGCTCACCATCAGATGACTCCGACTGGAGTGCCTACTATTGCTCTTTCGCAGCTTCCCTCGCCGACCGAAAATCAAGACCAACATTATGTTCTTAAAACGCAGATACCCATACCATCCCTCTAGCATCGCAATCCCAGGTATTCTTTATACAAAAGTTAACGTTCATCACAGCCTTCGAAAATCAAATTTTTGCATGCAGAAACATCGAGGACAGGTCTGTGGAGAGTGCTTCCTTATCAACAACTGACGTGATCCACGGAAATGTACCATCCTACTACATATCCTACTTTATATAATTCGCTAAGTGTGACTGTTGGTTTGTCGGTGTGTGTGTGTGTCGGTGTTGTGTTTGACTGGAAATTCATAACTCCTGTTCCAGTAGAACCAAAGCGTTCAAAATTGGTAGGAGTACAAGGAGCAGCATGGGAATCCCTATGGCAAGTGGTAGGACCAGACTCCGCCCACAGGGGGCGGGGCGTGCGCGATAGAAATTTTAGGTTGCAAATTCATGACTCCTGTTTTCGAGGACCTATTGCGTTGAAATTTGCTAAGAGTACAGGAAGCAGGATGGGAATACTGATGGTAGGCGATACGTGGTGATAACAATTAAAAGGAATTAATCAAGAGCTTTGAAAGGAGAGAACCATACAAACCGTTCCTTACTTCGTGTTAAAGGCAGAGCTTTTCACTTCGGTAGGGGGTGTGATTGAAAAAGGACCGTAGATATTTATTGACTACTAATATTATTGACTAATAACAACTGCTAGAGGAAAAAATTGATAGGAGGCGAGAGCCATAAGCCTACAACGTCTTTCGTATTAACAGCTAAGACTCCACTAGATAGTGCAGGATGTGAAGGGACCGAAGTTAATTAGTGATAAGGACAGATAATATTAAGCGAGCAAGCATTGCAATCCTCATCGTGTCAACAATGCAACCTTT